ACTGGGGCATTGGGCAAGGCATTCACTTCTTTGTATACTTAAATAAATCTGTGTGGTTCTAAGCTCTTTCACTTCATTTTAGTGTTTTTTGTATTTTCAATTTTCTGTAATGAAATTGCTTATTTAAATTAAAAATATTTTAACTGTTAGAAACTTAGCAGGAAATCAAAACACAAGAGACCATTTATATGTAAACATAGTAATGCCGTGGAACAGTTCACTGAGGTCTCAGCAAAGGCATAGAGTAGAGGCTAGGAGAAAAAAAAAAAGAGAAGAAAGTAAAATTCCAGTACTGTAAAAGAAGCTACTGGAAATGCTTATAAAATTCTTTAAATACCAGCAGCAGTATGGGTGAGACTAAAATGAGTGTTATTAATTATGTAAAACCGATCTGATGTGATTTTTAAGGGTAGAGCCCACTGTGATCAAATCAGATCCCAAAGTCAGATACAGAGGATGCTGGTGATGCCGTTGCTCCTCTTAGAATTGTGTCAGGGACCAGTTCAGAATATTTGGATCCAAATGGAAAGTGCTTCTCTATGTACAATTCTCTTTGTACAAGCCCTCACAATTCTTTGAAAAAGCCACTATTATGATTTCCAGCCATCTCAGGCCATTGAATCAATCTCCCAAAGTCATACTATTATAACAAGAGTGACAGAGTTCACTGAACCACCTACCCTGATATCCAGATTGGTTTGAGTGGCATGGCAACATATTTCTGTAGACACCACGGCCCTAGGACTCAGTCTTGGAGTTGGCCTGAAACCACTTGAGTCTCAGAATAAAAATAAGTCAAATTTTTTATTTGAACTAAATAAAGCCAATAATAACTAACATATGTTAAACACTTGGAATGGGCAAGGTGTCTGACAAGTGCTTTGTATGCATTTTATCCTCCAGTAAGCATAATACTCTTTTTAAAAACTTTTTAAAAATTATTATGTATTTATTTGACAGGTAGAGTTATAGACAGTGAGAGAGAGAGACAGAGAGAAAGGTCTTCCTTTCATTGGTTCACCCCCCACATGGCTGCCACAGCCGGCGCTGGGCCGATCCAAGGCCAGGAGCCAGGTGCTTTCTCCTGGTCTCCCATGCAGGTGCAGGGGCCCAAGCACTTGGGCCATCCTCCACTGCCCTCCTGGGCCACAGCAGAGAGCTGGACTGGAAGAGGAGCAACCAGGACTAGAACTAGCGACCATATGGGATGTGGGTGCTGCAGGCGGAGGATTAATCAGGTGAGCCATGGTGCCGCCCCACATAATACTCTTAAAAAAGGTACACTGCCTCCCTGATTTTCGTTTTATAGAGGAAGACATTTAGGCTTAAAGATGTTAAATAATGCTAGAGGTTGTGCTGGGACTGAGGCTGAAACTCTTGGCCCTCAGCTATCATTGCCTCTGCCCCCAGAGTGGGAACCATGGGTGTAGCCCTTCAGTGCGCAGCATCAGATCTGTCTGCTTTCAGCATACAGTCTTGGCTTTTAAGCAACGTTTGATCAATGTAAAGAGGTCCACAATTCAGAAATTATTATCCCTGATAATTAGCAGAGTCTAGCTTAAATAATACTTTTTAATCAATTCATTCTTAAGTTGATATCTCAGGTAATTTAAGACTAGTTATCAGCACCCCTGGGAATAAGTGGAATAAAATATAGGTATTTCTACTGTAATATTAAGCAAATAAGTAAAATTAACATAAAATAGAACTGGTTCAACATTAAGTGTAGGAAGTGGAATCTACTTCATTTCAAAACTCATAATCCTGGACATACAGAAATTACGTCATGGTATATCACAAAGAAGTATACATGTAAAGGACATTAGACTCCATATGTTACAACCTACAAACACTCATATTCACGCTGATGCAATGTTTTATAAATTATATATTTAAATAGCTGATAATTCAAATCAGATACTGGAATCAACCTAGAGCATTCAGCAATTAATTAGTGGTTTTATTTTGTAATGAGTGTCAAATATAGGTTACAGTTGGCAACCACACCAAATCAGGTACAGTAGCCAAGGTGAGAGGTTGAGACAGGTGAATGGTTTGGAGAACCCCTGGATAAGAGCATAGATAGACAGATCTGCAGATCAATGGACTCACTTCAGTCCAAATAAGCGGATTTTGGCAAAGGAACAAAAGAAGATATCCAAGGGCTTTGGGTAAGGTCTGTTCCTGGTTGATCCTGCTGATGGATCAAGCACTTGGGCTTCCATAATCTGAACTTGGTAATTCACTGGATTTGGCATCTTGTAGGGATTCGCAAGGCACCAGATGGGCATGATACTAGGCACAGAGCCAACACGGACCTCACATGTACTACTGAGGTGGGAGCAAAGTGGTTAGACTCCCCTAATTAAAGTTCCCTGTGACTGATAGAAGAACCCCATCCATAATCCCTTAAAGACTCTTACATGGTAGAAGCATGGACTGTGAAAAACTGTGTGTAAATTATTGCAGATGATGCTTTTCAATCCCTTAAAGGGGCTGTTTCTCCTGCCCAGAGCCCATGCCCTTCCTGTTGTCCCCTCACTTGATGTGATGTGGTCCTACTCTGGAATAACAATAGTATCTCCAGGGTGTGTTGAGGAATAAGCTAATCAATACATGTGAAAGCTCTTTAAACAGTTCCTCATACATTAAGCACTCAGAGTTGTTAGCTGTTTTATATACGAATTTTTGCTGGATATTAATGGTAGTGCTTCCCTCAAGTTAAACTTTCTCTCTGTCTGGATCCGACTGTCAGATTCTCACTGGTCATTGTTGTAATTCTGCATTATACTGTGATGTGATCCCTCCAGATTATCTAGTTGTCTCTACAATCAGACAGATATTGATCATGAGGGTTAAGGGATGGATTATTAGGGCCTAGCACAGGATCTTTCAAACCATAGGCACTCAGCACTCAGCAAATGAGTTAGTTAATTACTTTAAGATCTGTGTCTTTTAATCATATTTTTCTATTATGGAGATGAGCTTAATCAAGTTTTTATGTAGCTCTATGACCTGTAAAACTGCACCACAATTTCTTAACTACTTGATTCATTTTGTACCTGCCCAAAAATAATGGGTACCATTGCATTGGATAGCTACATAACACAGTCTCAAGGACACCTCTGAATAGCTTTTGAAGTAGTCAATGATATTGCTATGAAATTTGACCAAATGAAGAGCTCTTGCCCAATGAATCTGTGAAGTAATAGAAAATGTTATTTATTAATGCTTCTGTGGTTAAAGCTACTAACTGAGGCAGTTGTCAAAACATTTCTCAGTAGGTGAGAGTGTTCTAAATTTGTTTCCTAGCAACAAACAATTTCAGAAGAGTTGTATGTATCTTTTGTTTGGAGGAGTGGCAGATGGGTATAATGTGTATGTCAGGACGTGGTCACAGCAGTGCTCCCCATTCCTTCCCGCTGGTGACGCATGCAGCATCCTGTTGGATCACAGCATTATAACAAGTGTCCACCTGTATTAAGAGGAATCATCCCTATTCTTCATACACCCAGCAGTTTCATAGTTTAACAATTGGTCAGTCTACAAGCCCATGGCTAGTACATGAAGAATCGGTGACTTGCTAAAACATGTGGAGATTGGCCAAAGGGGATGTTGATTGAATTATATCAAGTAGTTGAAAGGTTGAAGGTTGGTGAAATACAGAACAAGAGAGAGGTCTGCAAGGATGGTATAACCTCAATTGCCAAGAGTGGAAACTTTTCCAGTTAGACTCTCTCTATAGCCATCCTTGCTTCCACTTCCTGGATTCATCACATGTTCTTAATTTGGTTTTCCAACTTGGCCTTCTGATAATAACAGTAACAACACCAGGTAGAATTTACCAGCTCCCTTTTATGAAGACTATTTTATGCAACTACCTTACTTGTAATATTTTATTTAGCCCTCACAATTCTTTGAAAAAGTCACTGATACTATTTCCAGTGATCTCAGACCATTGAATCAATCTCCCAAAGTCATACTATTATAACAAGAGTGACAGAGTTCACTGAACCACCTACCCTGATACCCAGATCGGTTTGAGTGGCATGGCACCGTATTTCTGCAGACACCACAACTCTAGGATGCAGTCTTGGAGTTGGCCTGAAACCACTTGAGTCTCAGAATAAAAATAAGTCCTACCGATCACCGGGACTTCTCTGCTACTCTGGTTAATCCTACTGCCCTGAGAGTACCCCTGTGGATATATATAATCACAATAGATTTTAAAACACAGGTCTGAGGGCAAGCTGAATTTTCTGGGGGCTTCCACACCGAACAAAATTGACTCCGCACACTTGGCAAATTCCTTCCAAGCACAGGCACAGTCCGACTGTTGCTTCCCTTTCATTGCCATCTTGAATAGTGAAACCTGGCGTTGGTTTCCATCCACCCCCAGCGCCTCCCACAAAAGCTTTTTTATTTCTTGGAAAAGCAAGCTGTCCACTTATCCCAATCAGCACAAATTGAGGAAATTATCATTTTTCAGGGGAGTTTCATTTAATAGAACAATGTGTCAGAACCTGAACTACAAGAACAAGGTACAATGTCAGTATGAACCAGAGCAAAGAGGATGCTGGGAGTCTGAGCCATTGAACTAGGCAACCAGACTCCTCGTATTTCCCTCTCCTGGAGGTGGGAGGCAAAGCGAGCATCAAGTGGTCTTGAATCCAGGGTATTCCATAGCAGAGAGCTGAGCACGTGGTGAGGTACAGCAGTTGACTTAAAGGTCTACTTTGTGGGATACACTACGTATGCTCCCCAGAAGAGCCTCCCAATAAATGTATTTTAATTTCAGACTTACTTTTTCATGGCTAGTGACGTTACCTCCTGAGGCAGTTCAGTGCCTTCTTTATTTGGAAGTGGTTACTGTTCAATTTTCCTTAACATCCATCTTTTTCTCTCTTTGTTTCAGAGGGTACCCTTTAAAGACAGGCATTTTACTTGCAGCAAAATGTAAGTACATTTCTTCCTTGAAATGGTATCTGCTTCTCAGCTGTAATTCCTACAAACCTCCCTGATGGTTAAGCCTCCCATCTCGCATTGCTGCATTTTTCAAGTCTGGCTCAACAAATGCAGCCACAGTTTGAATATAACATTTCACACCACTGATTTGTGTAACGTCATGGAGCATTTTGGAAACTGTTTGGGGAGCAAGTGAAACTTCATTGTGGCTGTGGCAATATTGCAACTAGATAAAAATAAGGAGGGAAATGAGGCAACATACATTGAGAGTGTGACCTTGGGACACCAGACATTGGCATAGTCAGGTTCTCTGAAATGTCTATTTTACTGCTCCTCACCTACATGGTCCTTGCCATGTAGTTGCAGACTTCTCTGGTTTAATAGCATGGTAGTTGGTTACCTTAATAATTCCTTCCTGTGTATACTACATTATGGCCTCTCTGTAAACCAATGTTCTTTCTGGGGTGAATCTCCTGTTTGTTGTCTCTTGGTCGTCCTTGAGTCTATACCAAATTAAAAATCCCCTCTATTCCAAAAGACCAAATAAAATTACAGTAGGTCCAAACTGAGAGCTCTGAATTAATTAGGATTTTGCCTTGGGAAACAGATGTGAATGATGTGATTAAATTAATAATTAACCTAAAGCAAACACATGGAAGCTTCATTTATATCTGGAATAATTTGATAATGCCTGCATTCAAACACGTAGAGTATAGATTCAGATTCAATAGAAGACCCTTGCTCTTCAAAAGTGGCTCAAAGGGTACTGAATTGTCTGTCGTAACAGGTAAGTGGCAGGATACTGACACTGTTGGGTATGAGGTTGCACCACATTTCATACAGAATTTCCAGTAGAAGGCTGGAAACATTGAACTAGACATTCTTAGACCTTTGAGCACTTAAGGTCTCACTTGAATTATGCATATTATTCATGTTCTTATAAATTCTCTCTTGAAAAAGGAAAAAAAAAAGACAAAAAAAATTCTCTCTTGAACATTCTGTCCCTATGAAAACTATGTATTCAACTGAACTACAAACAAAAAAAAAAATGAGTTTCCACTGATTTCCCTGGGTGATGTTTTTTGTTTGCTCTCTAGAATAAATTGATCCCTCTGCTCTACACCAGATATTCAAACATCAGCACAAGAGACAGTCACCCTCAAAATCATCCAAATTTAATGTCAAAGTATTATGTACTCACGGAATGTTTTTTTAAATGTCAAGCTCTGTTGTGTATTGCTTTGGTCTTTATTGCATTATCAAGACACCTGCATGCTATGAATATTTTAAGCAGCATTTACCAATAAAGTCACATTATATTTTATGAGCAGTTCCTCTTTCCGCATGCTATCCTGAAGATACTGTTTATACAATTGTTAACTTTTCACTATTCTTTCTTTTAAACATAGAATGTTGTTTAGGGAAAACTGCCTATGTTTAATTTCCTGCATATTCATATTAGGTTGTTCTCTGTCATATCCTTACTGCTTATTGAGGTTGATTCCTGCTTTAAATGACTTAATGTTAAATACTAAAAAATGGCTCATGTATATTCATATTGAAAATTAGATGAAGGGCAATTTAAGGTAGAATTTATGTCACTTGTATAAACAGATGTATGTAAAAAAAAAAACTATTACCCTAAGATCTCTATCAAATTGGCATTGTGAGCACCCTTTAAATTCCAGATTGAGAAAAAAGTAGGGGTGAGTATTTCATTTTACAGGGCTCACTTTGTAATCACTTTTATTTTCATTTTTTCATGCTTAATAACCTATGTTATTAGGTTATCTTGGGGTTTATAGCATTCAGACAAATGGATCTACTCAACTCCCCAAGTCTTTGAGCAGCTGGTGGCAGGTTTATCTGACCCATGGAGTCATGCAAATGCATTAAATCACTAGGCAGTTGTGACTTGGGTTCCTTTTTGGCAACTGCACTACATCGGCACCTTTGGAGTTGGCATTATGTCCTAGTAATGGTTATATTATACAACCAATATAACTGGGAAGTGACCTAATTAATGCCCCATTCAGACAAAGCTTAGATCTTGGAGTAGCAGGTCTTCCAAGTAAAGGCCCTAGGACATGTGAAATCCTAACCCCAGGGATGGAGGACAGCCTTCACCAAGCCAGGAAGACATGGCCCCAAAGTGACAGCTCACTGTCATGCCTTCATAACTGGTGTGATTTTGAGAATGTTAGCTAACCCCATGATGTCTAAGTATCTCTGCTATGGGAAGATTGGGAGAAGGGGATGGAAGAAAAATTGTTCTGCCTCTTTCAAAGGGTTATGACAATCACTGAGATAACATTTTAGAAAGATTTTACCATCAAAAAATGATTTCTATCTTTAGGGATCCTTATTCACTGTGGGAGACCATGGGATTCTAGTGGCCAACATAGGCTTTAAAACAAATACCATACAATAGAAGAAAACAATTCCATTGGGCCACGTCAGTCCCCTGGAAAGACTTACACCCACATTTTTGTGTTTCTTTTCAAATATGTATATTCTTTAGGACCCCTGCCTCTGGTGGATGAGAATTGTCTTCTGGGTGGTATGGGTGAGAACACTGCCAAAGAAACCTGAATTATCCAGAGGCCTGTAAAATGCACAATTGCTTTTTAAGAGGCATGGTGATATTGTGTGTTCCTTTCGATTTTTGGCAGTAACGACTACGTGCAATTTGTGGTTTTGCAATTTCTCTCTACACAGACAACACCCTGGCTCTCATTCAATGCCCCCATTGGTGGGGGTGAGGTGGGGAAAGAGAGAGACTCCCTGGGGCTCTGACTGCTCCAGAAAAAGAAGGAAATGTTAATGAAATAAGTCAGAAAGAATGCTAGAGACTATTGAAAGCTGGTTGGTTAGTGGGGTTGGAAACAATGTTTAATAAATCGCATGGTGTGGCTAGGATTTTAAAATTCTGGGGCTTTTGTCAACTGAGCAAAGGGCTGTTACCTTGAACTCTGCCGGCCTCTCCACTAAGTTTACTCTGAGTCACAGTATCAGTCTCGTTTCTTTCTCTTCCTTTGCTCAATGAGCCTGAAGCAGTGTCTCCTATGGACTTTGCCCAACCCAACTCCCTGCCTCTTTGGGTGAGATATTCTTTAAATATTCCACCTCTGTGTGTACACTTGCCATTTCCATTTACTGGGTCTGTGTGAATTAGCTCAAGATCTATGTGCCAGGATTGTCTGCTCTCATTTTCCTTGCCTTGCCTTCCCCTCTCCACGGCTGGAATGCCCTCTGCAGAGGAGGTCTGTGGCTTGCAGGAGCACAGAAATGTAGCATTTATCTGGGCAAGAGTGATGGGTCCTATTTCTAGTGATTGGTTCTGTTTCTGTTCATCGCCTCTGGAAAGGCTTTGCAGAGTTTTGTTTGCTTTTTATTTTTTTTAATGGCCGCTAGGCACTGTGCTGAAGGGTTGAAAGTCACATCCCGTGTTAAGCTTGTGTTCCTTCTCTGTTCTCTCTATAGACCATAGCCCCTGTTCTCTGTGCACATGCCCATCCTTCACGGCTATCTATGCACAAAGGCCACACATTTTTTTTTCCTCTTCACATGACCTAAATGACACTGCTTCTTTGGCTTCTAACAGGAATATAAAGATGATCATTCCTTATATGTTCATTATAATCTCCCAAATTCTACATATTTGGGGAAAATACGATCTTACTGTGTGTGTGCGCGTCTGTGTGTGTGTGTGTTCTAAAGGTTTAAGGAATTTGTTATGCAATCATAAATTGTGGGATTTTAATTTCGGAGAAGCTTTCAACATGATGTGGTTCAACAGCCCACCTGAAGCTGTGCCTCCCCAGGAGCCCTTCCCCTGTGTGACGTGATAGCCCACTCTACTGCTTAATAGCTCAGCATCCAAACTTTGTTCTCTAACCTGAGACAACCTCCCTGTGACTTTGGGTCATTTGTGCTGGTTTTGCCTCAAGAGCAGCTCAAAAGTTGACTCCTCCTTCCACATGACAACCCTCCAAATATTTTGGAATCTGATCCCATATACCCTCCGAGTCTTCCTTGTCCAAGCTAAACATCCTCAGCTCCTTCAGCCATCCTTCATATGACTGGGTCTACTTATACTTTTCCATTTGTCCCATTGGCTTTTTTTTTTCAATATACCTTTTGAAATGTTGCTATCTGGCTTGGAAAAAATGTATATGATGGAGACAGCCGTACAGAGCTCTAAGAAAAAAAAATGAACTTTTTCTGGATTTCTTACTTCTTTTACTAAGATCCAAGAGCACATCAAGAATGTTAATAGTGCTTGAGTCCTGAGGTTAATCCTAAAACTTTTAGATTTGTGACTGAAAAAAAAAAAAATGCTACAGGGGCTAGCATTGTGAGGTAGCAGCCTGGGCCTCCATCTGCAGGATGCCACCATCCCATATAGACACTGGTTTGAGGCCCGGCTGCTCCACTTCTGGTCCAGCTTCCTGCTGGTGCACCTGGAAAAGCAGCAGAAGATGGTGCAGGTGATTGGGCCCATTGCCCCAAATGAGAAGCTCCTGGATTCTAGCTTCAGACTGGCCCAGCCCTAGCCACTGCGGCCATCTGGGGAGTGAGCCAGTAGGTAGAGGATCTCTTTCTCTCTCTTTCTTCTCTCCTTTGTCCTCTCTCTCTGTAACTCTGCCATTCAAATAGATAAAAAATCTTTAAAAAAAAAAAAAAACTGCTCCAAAAGTACGTTTTCCAGTCATTTATTCATGCGCTTGGTTTTGACTATTGTGCATATTTTTGCATTTATCCCTTAACACTTATTAGTTCCATAATATTAGTGATAACTGTTAAGAGTTTTTGTATTCTGAATTATTTAAATCCCATCCCAGATTGTTTTTCCTTGAGAGATTAGTAAGAACACCATGAATATCTGGATTTTAAGCTCCTCAAATGTGGAGCTATGTTTTATTCCTCCTTGTCTCTCCTGAAATGTCTCTGACATTCTCCTAAATAATCAGACACCTAACAAATGCTTTTATTAAGCCAATCATCAAAACCAAATCCAGGTAGTTTTCCAACACCCTGACAAATAACTATCTTTAGATTGATATCAGTGCCCTTCAGAAGCTAAGAAGACTAATTTTGCACTATACTGCTAGTTTCTGACAGTTTTGTAGCATTCCAGAAGTGACTAACCATGTGACCTTAAGGGCTAGATTGTCTAAATTCTAGTATTTCTAGACTTTGCTAGCTTGTGCTTTGTAACAGGTTATACCATCTCTTTTGTTTTTTTCCTGATATATAAAATGTGATGCTAAACTATTTATATCTGCCTTACAAGGTTACTGTGACTGCTAATCCATGTAAAAAGTACAGAAAAACGACTGATAATATAACCAGTAATAGTAGTAATGGTTGCATTGCTATTGCATTTGTTACCATTCTCAAGATATGCTGGTGTAACTGCCCTATCCTAAGAGGAACGAAACCAACTTTGGCATAACTTGTTCATGGTTAATTTATATTTATTCCGTGTAAAAATTTTATTATCAAAATGCTAGTGTTATCTCAATATAACTGACGGCTCCATGGGTCACATAAGTTTAGATACACATTCAGAAGAAACAAATATCAAAAACATGAAAACAATGTAAATTGTTACTAAAATCTTTCAAAGAGGAACTATATTCCATAGCAAAATATTCTAAATATCCTCTTTACCCAAATTCCTCAAGGTAACTACTCGATAATTTCACCTTTCTCTCTACCTACTGCTCCAAATAATAAAATCCTACTATATGGTATACTTTTTCCTCACTCACTTCTTCTTTTCTAGTCATGCTCCCCATTTTCCAGAATTACTAAATTGCTAATATATTTTCTGTCTATCTTGCCTCCACTGGTTTGCTCTCTAAATGCCTGCCAAACCTGGGGCTGGGCGGCCAAAGCCTGAAGCCTGGAACTCCATCCAGGTCTCCCATGTTTTTGGCAGAGTCCCAAGTATTTGAGCCATCCTTTACTGCTTCCCAGGGTGAACATTAGTGGGAAATTGGATTGGAAGTGGAGACAGAACTCAATCCCAGGTACTTTGATGTGGGATACAGGCATCCTAGGCAGCAGTTTAACCCACTGTGCCCCAATGCACAGCCCTACTCCATTGAATAGTACTCCATTTTATGGATATATTACTGTTCATTTACTTATTCATTCTACTGGTGAACAGTTACATTGTTACCAATTTTTGCTATTAAAAGATGCTGCAAGGATTATCCTTGTAGCTTTATGCACATGGGTGGAATTTTCTCCAGGGTACCTAGATGTAAACTTGCTAGATTATGAAATATTTGATGACTATTACTAGACATTGCCAAATTGCCCCCTAATGATTGACTAGCTTAAATTCCCAGGAGCAGAGCATCTAAGTACCACCCCAAGCCCATCATCCACTTATCTCTTTGCCTTTATGTTTAATTTCTGATCTACAAAATTACTAATTTTATTTGATAATATGTGTATATATTTTTATATTTTATTCATTTCAATAACTTGAATCTAATACCCTTACATGATTTTTCTGGAGGAAAAAATTGAGAATGATGTGAAAAGAATACAAAGGATCAAAGCAATACAGAAAAGACTGATACAAATGTGGTGTACTCTCTGCCTTGAAAGTCCTCCATTTCCCTTTCTGCCTTCTTAAATCTTAATCATCTTTGGCTGGTTGCTGCTTCTTCCTCACATTTTTTCTTCTTTCAATTTAATATCTTAAGCATGTATTAAGTGCTATACTATCACTGAAAATACAACAGTAAAGACAGATATCCTCTTATCTTCATGGAAATTATATCTAGTGTTAGAAATGATCAAACAAATTATAGTGCATTATAATAACAATATTAGGACTTTCACACTTATAACTAGAGAGTCCTATTTAATAACTTATTATGTGTTCATTTCTATTCCTCTCTAACATTTACATGTGGAGTAACCACATTTTCCAAACTCTGAACTATTCCTGAAGGTGTTAAATATGTATCTTACATTTCTCTTATTTATGTCCAGATTTCACACATTGCACCTGGCAGGGATCACTGTGCATGCGTGATTGAGTAATCTGTACCTTCTAATCAGGTTGGAGGATTTCAAGTCACCAAACACACAAAAAGGTTATTTTTAAGTCAACCGTTTTCGTTATTGGCTAGTGGCCATTATAAAGAAGTTGTAGAATATTTGTTAGTACAAGATGATCCTCAAAGTCCCAGAGTTAGAGTATGGTTAAAAATGAGAATATTTATTATTTCAGAGTTAATTTAAAAAATAATCACTAGATTATTCTCTCAATAATAGTTTAATTTTAATGGCTAAAGTAATGCTACTCCTGATTTATACAGCATCTTATCTTTTATAAGAAGAGAGCCCCAGAGACTGTCTCGATGCTACATAAAAGACATAGTACAAACTAATTTCCCAGATTGTGAATAGACACCAGTTTAAAGTACTTCCAAGGAACTTCAAGCATATATCCAGATACACGAATCAAAATAAGAGACTATAAAATAACATCAATCAAATGGCTACAACAAGAGAGACAAAATATTCAAGTGCTGCTGACAATGAAGAGCAAATGACATTCTCACACCCTGCTGGTAATGAAACATTTGGTACAATGAATCTGGAAAACTAGTATTATCTCTAAGGATGAACACATATATATTCTGTAATGAAACAGTTCTTTCCTGATGTATGCATGTATGTTGTGTGATATAGTCACACAAAGAAATACTAAGCAACAATAAAATTATGTACTCTATTACTAAATATAACCCTATAAATCTCAAAATATTGATTAAAAGAATCCAGTCAATGGAAAGGGCTGAAATTATTGATAATCATTGTGAACCCATATTGGAAATTTTACATTCAAATATAATCCAAATTTAGTGGAGGGTAAACAGTTGAACCTTATGCGTTTTATCTTTGTTTCCCTGAATGCTGTCATGTCAACATCAGATGGAGCCAGTTAAAATGCTCATTTCTAGAGTGATTCAAAGACCCTGTGACAGTAGAGATTCAAGGCCAAAAGGTCAGTAAGCTAGGATAGGACATAAATGCCAGATGTCCAGTCGATGAGGCCAGTTTCATAGCC